TATAGTAGTATATATTATTATTATTATATATATATATATATATATATATATATATATATATATATAGGCTTATAGGGAACTAGATGCATACGTAAACAGTGCATACTTTCACTCATGTCTCTGTCATACCCAGAACTGCTGTGCCCGTGAGTGTCTGCAGTTCCTTGGCAGTCCACCACAGCGGTGTAGTGAAATCAGTGGGCAACGAGGCTATGTATGGTTGCCAGAACGAGTTTGGATTCCTGAGATTGGGTTCAAAAGGATTCCATCCCGATTTACTACGCGAAAAACAATTGTGGGAAGGCCCTTTAACCTTGATATGATATAAATGCGTCCCGATAGAAAGTGAGCGAGCCCATACGTTAGTGATAGATACTTCGGGGTGTTCGCATATCTTTAATATCTGCGTGTGCACATATACCACACACACGGTGCATTGAAGTTCAGTAACCGTACGATACATACATACACCAGTGAAAGTGACTAACCTAAATCTTAAAGAAGAGGACAACGTGTCATCACAAGACAGAAGTGACGACAACAGGAAACGTTTTTCTTCTACCACTGCAGGTTCTGTTAAAAAGCTTAAGAAAGTAGGGCTGCGAATGCACACCAGTTCAAGACCATACAACCGATGCAAACAACCTAAAATCCTGTCAAGACCATACACCAGATGCAAACAACCTAAAACCCTGAAGTCCCACAAACAACATGCGATGTCTACATACCGTCTCTCGGCCAACAGATGTGCCGCCAAAAGAACATTCGGTTGCGACTTCATCAGTGAGTTGCGCCCAAACGCCTCCGCTACAGAATGAGGTGTAATTATGGGAGGATGATGTAAGAGCACGCACACACTGAAGAAACGCCATAGAGAGATAAGGGCTCTGTCAATAGACCAGCACAAGCATGCAAGTATGGAAGGTTGGTGCGTAAAAACATCCACCGGAGAAACGCTATTGAGAGATAATGGCTGTGTTAATAGACCAGCACAAGCATACAAGTATGGGAGGTTGGTGTATGAAAACCCACACATCGGAGAAACGTCATATAGAGATAATGGCTGTGTCAATAGACCAGCACAAATACGCAAGTATGGGAGGATGGTGTATGAAAACCCTCACACTGGGAAACGCTATAGAAAGGATCAGCAGCCGATACAAGAAGGAAACCGCCAGGCAGGTGCAGGAAGTGTGTAGGTCGCAGGTATTCAAAATGTCACCGAGTAAAACAAACAGAAAAAGTTATCGTCACATGACAGCACATTGGTTTGAAATCGGTCGTCAGAAAGCTATTTGCCTTTTTGATTGTCTCTACACCAAATTGTAGTCGAGCGAGTGTCTGTTTATGCGCACAGACTCCGGACCAACAAAGATAGAGCACAGTACACACACCCCTCCAATGACATGCCACACAGCAGGGGACTGTCATATACACAGTACAGCCACCTGCAATCTCACAGGTGATGCTTCGCAGGACGCTAGCAACTACCCGATACCATGTACTACAACCACTACTGTATTGGTGATATATGGATTGTGATGTAGTGTTACCTTGAGGAGAAGCCATGGCCGTGGCTGTAGACATGAACAGTTTGCTAGGCACGCGCACCATGAGTTCACCCGCCTGCGGTGCAACAAGGAGATGAACTTTTGGTATGCATGTATGTTTACATTCGTGTTCTATATTTTAGGGGTTGCAGTGTATATGTCTGTTAAATTTAAATTATTATGGAGCGCATGTATATATATATACATTTAAGAAAAATTATATATATATATATATATATATGAATGCATATATATGTATGTATATATATACTTAAATATATACATATATATATATTAGGAGACGGGGCGTGGATGAATTAGTGCCGATGGATTGCTGTCAATCATAATTTCATATTCATGCCCACCAATATAAAACAGCACGGGCAATGCTGTGTATGCGCATTCTTCTAATATCGCCAAATGATGCAACTTTCAACACAATTGAATTGTCTGATGTTTGCAGGTGGCTGTACGTTAAAAATACGTAAACCCTCAAGACCCTAAAAAAGGTGATTGGATGGGTATGCTGCTGTGGTAGTATAATAAGCATGTCGGATGGGGCCATGCATCAGACACGGTACACGTACGCAGTAGGTACCGTTGCTGTTGCTCTTCCAGAGTCACTCGGTGTCTATTGAAGTTAAGTAGTTCCTTAACACAAGTGACAAGCCTAAACCCTACTGGACCGCTGGCCCCTGCCTTATACCCTGTACACAACACTCGGCCGTATTTGCGTGTACCTTCAAGTCCCGTTTGGCCACCAGGCCTTTGCCCATGACTCCGTACTCTTCTATAGCCACCACTTGGCCATCCGCGCGAATGCCGTTGGTTTCCAACCATTGCAGAAAGCATTGAGTCGCCTCACCAACATCCGTAGCACCTGCATAGGCATAGATTACATAGTTCATATGACGGAGTAGCATCTGCATAGGGATAGACTACATAGTACACGTGATGGGGGTATTTTTGCAATGTGGTGAGTAGGTAAACAGCTGTAGTCTTTTTCTTTACGCTAGCTGCAGAACTTTCGAACCTTCACCAACCTAGTCCGAATGTTGATATCATCTTTGCTACACCACAAGTTTTGTAGTGACGGAGTAGGTCTCCACGGTGGCTCGTATGTGCTGAAGGATGACTCGTAAGTATACACAACAACATCGATCCAGCATTTGACACACGCGTTGCCCAATGGGACAGTGCAGGCCACATCTGCAAACTCGCCTTTTCAATCAATGCAAAGAACACGCTCACCTCCAAAAGGCGCCTGAGCGTCCTCGAGCTGGTTGATAGTGGAGAGCAGGTCAACGAACGACGCCCACTCCTCAGCAGCTGTTTGTGCTTGCTTCTCGTGCGCCTGTATGTTCGCTTATGGTGCGTGAGAGCGAGTTCACCACCCAGACGCACATGGGACGGGACGGATATTCGTGAGACATAGAAACTCAGCCAGTGATACGCCGTAGGGCAATATGATATGGTATGAGAACCTGCTTCATGGGGTGTATGTTTCATCACAATATATTGAGAGGAACGGCTCAGTGAGCCCAACTGCGCCACATTAACACGGTGTGCGCACGATGGCAAAGCAACCCCACACGCCAGGAGGAAGGTATTCAGTAGACGACATGGACCACTGCGCCAATGCATTGCACCTGATACGACAGTAAGTAAATGGCAACAAATGGGTACAGCTGCCCAGAAAAGGCCCCCAATTTTGACAAGACATGAGGCAAAATTTGTTGTGGACGCCTATAAAGAATCCACAATACGACAGGAAATTGGCGGCAAAAGAAGTTGCGATAAATAATAGACCAACAGAAAGATCATAGAATATCAGTCACAAATCAAAGCATCAATAAATGCGAGCACCCTTGGCCGTATACTAGTGGGCTTAAGTCAGTTAAGACGGTAACTAGGGACCCTGCATTCGGATTTATTTGCATGGGGAAAGCCCAGAAGTAATGATATATCCTTACATGGTATAGGAAGCTTATAAACCTAAAGAAATATATATATATAAATATAGTTATATATCTATATATATATGTGTGTGTGTGTGTGTGTGTGTGTGTGTGTGTGTGTGTGTTATATATATATATAATAATATATATATATATATATGTGTGTGTGTGTGTGTGTGTGTGTGT